CCAAACAACGCTACACATATAAATATATTTATATTTATATATACATATAAATATGTTTATTTTTATGGTTCATACCTTTATTATGTCTGTGAGTTGTAATTGAAAGTTGGCACCAACGCTGATACCGTGACGCTTACTGACATCCTGTTGACATTCGTCGCAAATTTATTGATGCCTCAGTCGTGGAAAGCCAGGGCATGTACTTGAGAGAAGATATTATACACATGTACATGTATGAGAAAACTATACTAAATTCTTAGAAAAGAAGTGTTTTATATTTATATATATTTTATTCTCGTATTTGTAAAAATTACTCAAGCTTAATGGCTAGTTCCTCGCACTTTCTTTTCTTGGAAGGACGATAAATTTTCGATTTCTATACAATTCAATGCAAACATTCTCTGTAGAACCTGAGATTTTCGAACATAATTTTAATTGCCAACCATTAAATTTGTAACAACCAGAAAGAAACGTCAGAGATCCTATAAAATATACACAATTACTCTGCTTTCAGAAAGAACTAGTAAGACTTTATTCATAATTTTAAAATTCTTAATTTATTCCTCAAAAGTTATGTCGTCCCCTAAAAGTAAACTCCCTTGACCCATTACACTTGCGCCAACGGTTCTTCCAATCCTCGAAACAGTTGTTAAAGATAGTTTCCGGAATAGCCTTCAATGCGCGTAGCTATTCATATTTAATGTCTTCAATTAAATCATAATGGTTTTTACCGGAACGGTCGTTTCAGTTTGCCGAATAGCCAGAACTTACACGGAGCGAAATCAGGCGAATACGGTGGTTACGGCACGTTATTGATTGAAAACTTGGAGAAAATATCATAAAGAATCAATGCAGTATGCGACGGTGAATTATCCTGATGCAAAAACCAAGAGTTGTCGTGTTTCCGGGTTGTAAGCGTAGATCCAATATTTATCTTAATAAAACCTTTCATGACAACCCGGTAGTCGGAAGGCGTTCTTTCACAGACATTAACGATTTCGGAACCAATCGTGCTTTCACTTTTCTTAAGCCCAAATGATCTTTCAAAATAATTTTCACTGATCCCTTCGTTATTCCAACGATGCCAGAAAGATCTCTGACTTCTAATCATCGATTTTCAAGGACCAATTCCTTTATTTTGTTGACGATATAAAGTCGGTTATTATATATCTATACAGCTCTCCTTTGACAGCAACGTTGTCACAAGCTTCATTTCGTAAGAAGTACGGACCGTTGATTCCGCCAAACCAAAAACTTCACCAAACTATCAATTTAGATGAATGTAATGGTTGTTCATGAATTATTTGTGGATACTTCAAATTTTCAGAGAATATTTTTAAGATATTATACTTTAAGAAAATGCATAAAATACCGATTTTTTGAAAATTCTGACACTACTATGCCCTTATTTTGTATTTATCCGGTGTTTTTTACGACTTGAAATATTTGTCTGGCGATTTTTGTCATCACTGTCAAATTAAGTCTTCAGTGCATTATTAATTTTTCGATATATCCACTAGAATGAGAAAGTTTATTTCATTATCAGACTATTAGATTGACTCGTGCTGATTGTAAGCATAAGTACTTCAATTTTAGCTAACCTAATGTTTCTGAAATATTGGATTACTATCCTATGCAGTCCCATTTCAAGGACAGAAACATGAAGCCTTGCTACTCAATGGAAGCGACGACCGAATCTATTCAGAGTGTTTTGCTTAATTAAAAACTATACCATGATGATGTGATAAAATCACCCAAATACTGGATTAAAAAAATTAATCTCAATTATTTTTTTAATTA